CTCAACTCCTCAAGAGAGACGGGGATTTGTACGTCTGCATTTGGGAGAGAGGCCAGAAGTTCTTTTAATTTCCCACAATCAGAAATCTCCAGCCGACAGAGGGATGTGAGGTTGTGTAAACTGGGAATAGTCTCTAGATTAGGGCAATCAATGATTTTCAATTCCTCCAGGGAGATAAGGATTTCTAGCCCACTCAATAGGCTTTTTGATCCGTCACATTTCACAATTCTCAATCGACGGAGGGATGTATAACTGCGTATAGCTGGAAAAGATAGTAGACTATTATAATGCTGTATAGTCAACTCCTCAGGAGTAGGAGGAGCTAAAGATTTATCACAATCTACAACTTCAACCTGCAGTTCTTTAGCCCCGCGGTGTGTAAATGGATTTATGGTTGCTAAATTAGCACAGCGACATTTATATAAAACCTCAAGAGACTCGCAATTTTCGAGCCCACTTGGTAGGCCTGATAATCCTTCACAACATTCAATCCTCAATTCGCGGAGACATGTGATGCCTTGTGTAATTGGAATGAAACTTAGAATAGGACACCACTTTATCGTCAACTCCTCAAGAAGAGGGAGTGTGTCTAGCCCATCGGGTAAATTCCTCAGCTGTCCACAACATTTTACAACCTGCACACGAAGATATGCGCCACACCCAAATACATCAGGGGCAATACAAGTTAAGTTCTCACACTTTTCAATCTCCAAAGATGTGAGATTCTTATTGTTCTTCAATATCCCTTGCGGTAGACAAGTAAGCTCCTTAATAGCATTTATTTTGAGGGAAGTGAGAGTCGATAGTCCGTTGCTTATTTTTTCTATTGGCATGGCCCTTTCAATATAAGATACGTCCAACTTTTGGAGGGAGGGAAAATGACTGGGAACATTTCTCAATTTGGGACAACTCCGAATATGGAGCTCCTCAAGGCATGGAAACACCACTACTTTTTCTGTGGACATCACAGGTGCTTCCATCCATTCAATTAACTGACTGCACCCACCAATGGTTAATTTTTTAAGTGCCGGAAAGAAAGTTATAGTCCCCTTACTTGCGGTGGCTGCATCGTGAACAAGATCAAAACCATAAAACTCAGGTCCAACACCTTTTAGGTTAGCCATCTCATGAATCTCAATATCTCTAAGATTAGGTAGATGACCGAGTGCTGGGATTCCTTCACATTTGTTGCACGAGCGTAATTTAATCTTCTTCAAGTTGCCGAGCAAAAACGACCTGCTCATTATCCATGATGGAAATTCAACACCCATGAAATGTTTAATCTTTAGGCTTTCCAAATCTGGATGCGGTTTGAGGCCTTCTAGTACAGCCTCCTCACTGTGGTTTGTTGTTGGCCTATCTTTCGTCCATACAAATATCAAATGGCGTAGGTTTATCTTCTCATCTAATTTTGCTTTCTTTGCTTCATCTCCATCCCTTACATGTTCCAAATTATAAATACTCAATACACCTATCAATTGGTCCAAGCCAGCCAACTCCTCAATTCCACAACCCATCCCCTCACCCACACTAAAGTGAGGTAATGTCCGGAGGCATGTTAATCGCCCCATCCCAAGCGGAAATTTCATATTCTTATCGAAATAAACATGTCTCAAGTAGATCAAATTTTGCACTTCTTTTGGAAACTCTTCAAGAGCACAGCACATTGCTCTTAAGGTTTGTAGCTTAAAAAGCTGGCCAACAGATGTAGGGAGTGTTTTGACTCTTGTTTCGGAAATGTTAAGATATCTCAAGTGTTTCAACTTTCCAATTGAATTTGGAAGCTCCTCAATAATTGCCTTAAATAAATTTAAGACACGTAAAGCTTTAAACCTTGGAAGGATGTTACTAGGGACTTCGCCATATAAAAATAGTGATCGCAATCTCCCGCTTTCTCGAATTGTTTCCAGTTTGGAAGTAGGAACCCAAGCAACATGTTGAATCTCAAGTGTATTATCCTCATGGAAGTCTCCAGTCAAGATTTCGGATTTGAATACAAATTCTGCAAGATCGTGCATGGTGAATTTGGTAATAATGCCATAGTCATCCACAATAGCATCTCGTAAGAAGGAAAGGTCTAATAGAATTTTACAATATTCATTGCCAATATCCTCCATGTCTAGATTACTTCTGTGAGGATCAAGCAATCCCTGAGCCATCCAAAGTTGAACCAAGTTATCTCTCTCTATTTCGAAATCTTTCATGAACAATGAGCAATATGCAAAGCATTGTTTCAAAGAAGGTGATTTCAAATAATCAAAACTCAACTTCAAGATTGACATGATTCTGTCTCCTTCTGGCAACTCCCATATTTTACTTTCTTTAATCAACGACCATTCATCAATAGTCGTCTTATAACGCATCATCATTCCCAGAAACTGTTATTACATGAATTAGAATTTCTATCAATAAGGAACACAATAAAATTAGCAAAAAAAATGGCAAACAAGTAACTAAACAAGTTGTATACTTTTCAGAAAAAGGTAACAAGTTTCAGATTCTTGCTTTATTATTAAATAACTAAGAATTTCTTCTGATCTTGAAAAGAATTCCACTCTCGTTGATTTTCTTCTTTAAGTTATACATTTTTTAGGTATAAGGATTACGATTTGGAAATTCAATTGTAATTTGAATGATTAATTGTTGTGCAATACTTGCCATAGCCAATCTACAAGTTATAATATTTAGAGATATTTAGTCATATACACATTCTTAGGACTAATATTATAGATAAACCCTACATCATTTAATTTCTATAAACAAACCAAAAAAAACCCAAAAAATGATAGCTGGCCCTATTGAATTTAATTTTGATTATTAAATTACTTTGATGCCCTATTGAGTGTTTGGGCTTTTTTATGAAGTTTTGTGGTTGGGTTTGTTTTAAGAAATTAATGGTAGTTTTGTAATTTAAAAGAAGTTATAAGCCTTTTTGTTATGTTGTAAATGGGTTTTGGGTGTGTTTCTAAAGTCCATTTCATATAGGGTTTTTTTTATAATTTAGGCTCCTATATTGGATATAATAGTGAATTTCGCTGATATTTATTGGTACTATACCATAAAAGTGGGACATATCAACTATATCATCCATTCATATCATAACACGTGAACTATCTATGACACGAGAGCTTATTCCCACACAATATTTTTTCAATTTGAACTGAAAGCACATATATGTTATAATGAACTGAAAGAATTTATTGGTGTGGATTGTAGTTCCCCTTTTTATAAAAAAAAAATTCGGAGAAGTACTACTCTTTAACTGAAAGAACTCGCAACTAAGTATGCAGTACCTTCTAAATTTAAAGCAATTAACTCAAATAACCTAAGTGTTAACAGTGCACTTTTTTCTTTTTTGGGTATTCTGTTGCAGTAACCTCATCCATGTAATAAAATGCAAATGAGGAACGAACTCCTTGCCCAAAATTCATAAGAAAATGGACGAAAAGAATTAGCAGAAAATAAAAGGAAAAGAAGAGAAAAGAGCATTTAACTAGCTTGGGGGTTGGAACTTATTGATAACAATTTCTTTTTATTACACTGAGATTTGAACCTAGGATCTCTAAGGATAACCCAGTCATTCCATGCCACTTGAGCTAGGCTCATGCACAATTCATAACAAATAGAATCAGAAAAACATGCACAAACTTCAGTCATAACATGTATGATACTACTTTCGTACCTTTGCCACTAAGGGCACGCCTGCACATTTTTTGGCAATTTCCCGACCAATTCTCTCGAGATCTGGACTTATGTCAGCACTAGCATGTGGAAATGCTCTATCCTTCAATATTAACCAACAGTCATCTTCTGCTAAAGTTCGCAAATTACAACTTGGAAGTGTTTCTGTAATAGATGCAACTCTGGCACTGCGGGTGGTGACAAGAATTTTGCTCCCCTGAGCAGAATTAATCTTTGATAAACAATTCATCAAATTTGCCCATTTTTCAGGATATTCATTCCAAACATCATCAAGTACAAGAAAATACCTCTTCCCTTTCAATTCTTCTTGGAGGTTTATAAGCAATTCATCCAGACTTAGTCTCCCAACAACCTTTGTTGGGTTAAGCATTTCTAAGATCTGACTTAAAATCAATTTGATAGAAAAATCACTGGATACACACACCCATATTCTCGCATCAAAGTGTTTGCTTATAGCAGCTTCATTGTATACTGCCTTAGCCACAGCTGTCTTTCCTAGGCCTGCCATTCCGACAATGGCCATAACTGAAATAAAATTTGCTTCTTGATTGCTGGAGTTGATTAAGGTCTCAACTATATTGTACACAACCTTGTTCCTTCCAACCATGATTTCATCTCTCCCAATGAATACGTTGGTTTCTCTGTCCCCTCTAATTCCTTGAGGGGTTGCATCTATTTTTTTTGTAATTAAACCAAGGATCGCTGCCATACTCTTGAGATCCGTCAAAGATTCATTAATTTTCCTAATTTTATGTGTCATTTTTTGACCAAATAAAATGGGATTGGAAGCAGAAAATAACCTGAGTACCTTTTTCTTTGTTTGGTTTTGGATAACTTCATAGTCCATTTCATTTAAGAGATCATCAGCATCCTGGGCAACGTATTTAAGTTTCTTCACCCAGACCTCCACAACCTCGCTCCTGTGATGTGTTTGGTGGGCAACATCACCTAAGAAATTGTGGGAGCAAATATTTTCGTCTCCAATTAGAGCACGCCACGTGGAAAAGAAGATTATCCCTTAAATTAATTAATTAAACCATTTATTGGGATAATTAATTAATCTGGATAATATCTTAATTATATGGTATTATCTCATAATTAATAAAGATAATATCATTAATTGGGATATTATCATAATAAAGGGATATTA